CATATTACACTACAAACGGTTAAATAACACATCACGATTTCAACACATAAATTCAACATATGCAAATTCAACATGTGTAAATTCAATGCTTTAGACTCCCAACACTTAAAAATTTATCATGTTACGCTTTCACACACGCATAAACTTATCACGCTTGTTTGCTTGGATCCACTTAACTATAGTCTTCCGATTTCGGCCCATCCAGTGCTGTGATCATGAGTTACTTCCGGAATGAATTGTAGCCCGAGAAATTCCTTTGCCGTGGATGTTGTTTTTTCTTATTTTTTGAAAAGATTCATCAATTTTTTTATGAATTTGAAATGTTTCGTAAATTCCCTAGAAGTTCCGACAATTTACTCAATTTGTTTAGAAAAAATTATTGACTTCTCGTGAACTTCAACGCAAGTCGAGAATGCTCCAGATTTCTCCAGAAGTTTGTAATATTTTCTTGAAAATTCTAAAATTTGCCAGAAATTGAGACGTGGAATACTGCAGTATTACGTATGAAAAAATCCTATAAGATTCCTTATCAGGTTTTTCCTATTGTATTTCGTAGAGGATGTCTAATAGGATTTTCTGTAGGATTTTATGAGATTTTCACCAGGATTTTCTATGAAATTTAGGGGCATAAGAGTCATAATGAGGGTCAAAAGTGTCAAATGGGATCAAGTGGGAGTCATAGATGGGTCATAAAGGATCATATTATAGTAGGCAAGGGCACAGAGCGCTCTGAGGGATCGTAGCTCCCGGATCCAATTAGCTCAGTTACAATAGGTTGAATAGGCCCTTTTGTACCGGGCGTAGAGTTTACATGACCCCCTTTATGGGGCCCCCTCCGACTGACAGCCTGAGAAGGAGTGGGGGGAGGGTGACAGTTTGGAGAGTACGGTAAAATTTAAACTTCTGGAATATGTATTTTGTTTCTTAAAAGCCCTTTTAAGTTCAAACTCGTGAGTTGGGAAAAATTATTAATCGTACTTACTGTGAGGAATTTAAAGTAGATATGAGCTGATCCATGCCAAATCAGTAGGCCAAAAAAAGTCGATGCTGTCAATTCTCGTCTTAATTTTTTTCTGAAAACATGGCGATTAGACAAAAATGTTAAAAGAAGAAAAATTGAAAAATATGGATAATTGAGGGAGTTATGATTTTTTGAAAATGGCAAGTTTTTGTTTAAAAAAACATTTCTTCTAAATTGGCGCCAATATCTCTGCGGGTTTTCAAGCTATTAAACCGCCCTTTGGCAAACTCAAAGAACATGAAAAACTCTTAAAAATAAGACGTCATACTTAACATTATCTTCAGTTTGACGGGGTTTATACACGAGAAACGGTTTTTTTAACCACTAATTACCCAAAAAGCTTATTTATTTTTAATCTGAAATTTTGACTAAGAATTGTCAACAAAATGATAAGAATTTTGGCGCCATTAGACTTTGTATGCCATAGTCCGCCGATTATAATTTTTTTCAGTGGGGCAAGTATTGAAAATAACCGAAAATCGCTATTATTCATGCAATTATCCCCCAAATGAGTGCATATTCAATTGAATAATTGAAACTCAGTCAATTAAATTAAATTCTTGATTACCAATAAATGAAAACTTTTTGAAAAATGTATTTCCATCGTATAATTAAAGAAATTATCATTTTTCACTCAAAAAATAATACTGAAGATGAATAATAGAATACAATGAGTCCAACCTCCACCATTTGCTAATATTGAATTAAATATTCACTTATTTGGGCAATAATTGCATAAATAACAGCGATTTTCAGTCATTTTCAATACTTGCCTCCATGAAAAAATTAATAACCGCCGGACTACGACGAAAGACAAACTCTAATTGGTGCCAAAATCCTTGCCATTTTATTGACAATTTCTGGTGAAAATTTCAGATTTTTAAAAAAGTAACTTTTTGAATAATTAACGTTAAAAAGTGTTTTCTCGTATAAACCCCGTCAAACTAAAGATTATGTTATATATGACGTTTCATTTTGAAGGGTTTTTCATATTCTTTGAGTTTGCCAAAACACGATTTGATAGCTTGAAACCTCCCCGTGATATTGCGGCTAATTCGGGGAACAAATTTTTTTTGGACAGAAACTCAATTTTCAAAAAATCAACTCCCTCAATTATCCATATTTTTCTATTCTCAGTTGTCTTTTAATATTTTTTCCAATTGCCATCTTTTCAGAACGAAATTGAGACGCAAATCCCCAGCATTGACTTTTTGTTCTGCTGATTTGACGCAGATCTGCTCATATACTTGATTCCGGTATAAAATATCCTCAATTCAGCTATATTTTTTCTCGCCAAAACATTCGCCCAAAGAAATCTATGTTGAATTTCATTTTGTTGAAATAATAATTCTTAAACTTGCCTATATTGAAATTGTGTTGTATGTTGAATTTGCTTATGTTGAAATTTTCATATTTTCTTTAGACATATTTCCGTATTTCTTCATTTGGAGGTTTTTTCCAAAAGCCATAACAACGTATTCCATTGTAAGTGACATTGACTCATTCTCTTTATTCACTTCACTATATATTTGTATTGATCCTCCCTCATTTCCTATTAATTACAACGTCGAAAATAGTTAGGTCGTTTCGACAATCATGCAGGATCGTTTTCGAAGTGTTCTGTTTTTCACTTAGTTTCTAGGTTTGTTAAGAAAAATGTGAGAGATGAATAGACGCTGAGGATGTTGGATATTTTATGTATCTCGGTTATGACGGTGTTTGTATATAAAGATGCATACTTGATGTAGGAGTAACGGGGCCCCTGTTAAAGAGCCCGTAAAAGGGAATAATAGTACATTAGAGTACAAGGGCACAAATTTCGTTTTCGACGAATGTGAAGTTTACAGGCCGAGCCGAAGGCGAGGTCTGTATTCACATTTGTTGAAAACGAAGTTTATGCCCGAGTGGTCTATACTATTTTATGCCACATTGTGCAGAAGTCGAGTTTGAAGCACGCTGCGCGAAGCGAAGCGCAGCGTGCTTCAAACTCGACTTTTTGCACGGCGTGCCATAAAGAATAGTACTACAACATTTCTACAATCATAATCGACATCAACTTCATTGTCAAGGCCATAACAATTTACTGTCAGGCAACTCATGTCCTTTATTTTCCTGCACTGACAATCGAGAAGAATAGAAAAGAAGTAAAAACTGCGGAGGAGCTTCTGACTTTTCGAAGTTTTAATTTTTTCCGCGACATTTTTCATGAAATTGTGTCGTTATGTCGAAGTCGTTATGTCTATTTTTTGGTCAAATGAGTTTTCTAAATCGTGCTACATGAATTGGATTATAGTGGAAGCGAGAGGTATTTAGGTTATAGAGGGTTTATAATGTCGAGTGAGCACTTGAATTATTTATTGAGTCTCGAAGTAATCAATATAGAAGTTGTATATGTCTCGTTGAGGGTCGAATGCTTCACGCCAGCGATATTTTCTGTTACAGTGAGATCGAAAGACAATTTTTGCACTTTTATTTCTTAATTTTATAGATTTAACACAAAAATATCTCTGATCCAAATTCATTGTTCGAATAATTGTAAATAAAGATAATTTCACATATTTTCCTTTCAATCTTTGGATGCGGGAATATTGAAAGCCATAATTTAGTTAATTTTAAGTTCGTTGAAAACAACTGTTTACACTCCATTTTCCATTTTTGAATAAAAATTTCTACTTGTAAATATGCTCTGAGATCTGATTTTCCTTTGCGACTCAGTATTATTTTTAATTGTTTTCCTAATTCTAAATATATTCAATCTTCCCTTGGTCCCACTCATTTTTGATGAAGCAACGAATTGTTTACCTCTGTAAAAAATTGGAAGAAAGAGAAAAAAAATCATTTTTAACGGAATTGAAATGAGTTTAATCTTCATTTGCGAATTATGCTGCAAGAACGTGAACGAAATTTTCGGACTCATTTCTTATTCTCCACCATCCTACACTGACAAAAAAAATTAGTTTTATCAAGAGAATTTTATTTGAACCAACTATCATTTGGTTGTTGATTTTCAAATAAACCAAGCTGTTCCAAGTAAATTATAATTGAAGTGAGCATTTCGTATGTCGAATCAGGATGAATAGTGTTACGCGGAAAAAGATTTGAGATTGTAGTAACATTTCGTTAAGTTGAAAGAACTTTATATTTCTTGACTAAAAAAATCGCATTAGTTTACAATAACAAAATCACAGATTACGGTAATTCTACACAAACTTGGATATCACAAATTTCGTTCAACGTGATGTACGGAAAGCTCAATTTAAACATCGGCTTCATTCGAGAAAACAACATTCAATTCATTCCTCAATGAAATCATCTCTTAGGTACGAATTTTTTATTAATTCATGAAAGTAGAAAATTTCTCGACTGGAGATTATATTAGGTTAAAAAAAAATAGAACTTTTCCATTTTTGTGATGAATACATGTCACTTGACCCCAAGGACTGTTTTATTTCATTGAAGTAAATGTATCTCAAGAGGAAATAATTGATATTCACTGTAAGATCTTATTTATTTGAAATTGATTCAAGTATGTAATACTTGTTCCAAGCAACAAACATCTCAATAAAAATATTTTTTTCTATCAGTGTACCACAAGAATCAATGAACAACGGAAAAAACTCAAGAAATTATTTATTTCATCGAGTAAACCCTTCCAAGCAGGAGTAATTGCATATTAAAAGGAAGGAGAAAAAATTTCATGGAATTCATTATTATTTCTGAAAAACTCTATAACTGCTGTCGCAAAGGTGGACATAGAGTGATCATTTAGCTAATGTTGCTTTAAATTTAATTAAGGTCGGTTTCTTGGTCTTTGTCCTACGTAGTTAGGTATCTGTTCCCCTGAAGATATATGAATTGTTTACGGATTTTTTTCTGAGATATATACTAGCTCAATCGAACGAAATGGAAAGTAATTTCCAAATTAACTCATTTCTGTCATTCGAATTCGTTTGATGGTTGCTATTCGGAAGAATACGTATACAATAATATTCATTTATTTTAATTAATATTTCGGTTCTAAACTTGCGTTAGAAATAGATTCTCTTATTTACTAGTTTCTCCATCTTCTTATCATCGATACAGTATATATATTATTCATTCCAGATATGCCACAATTATTTACATCAAAAAGTATGTGTAGAAAGTACTTCAAAACACGTAAGTTTTATTTCCTCTACGAAATTCGTTCAATTATTCAAGTAGAGAAATGGTGAAACTTGTTGGTCAGTAGTTTTTCCACAGACGAGTGTTGTGTGTTATTACGAGAAAATATCGAACGATCTCGCTCGCAGGAAATTATTTCCTCCACAAAAAGAGTACTTTAACTTTTTTTTCATAAGATCGGTCAATTCTTAGACAATCACTTTCTACCACTTCACACCTGATTTTCCTCATGTCCATTGAAAATGACTGATCAATTAATTATAATATTTGAGTTAATCTCCGTAGATTTAGTAACATCAAAATCATCAAGTTGTTGTACATAAATAGTTTGATTCATCTTTGGTCTCAATTTGTAAAGCTATAGTATTAGAAAATTTTTACTTATGAAGAGAATTTCTCGTCTTCTTCTCAACACTCCGAATATTGACTTTTCATTGCGTGATTTCGTTGCATTAATTCTACATGATCAATCCGCACTGGTGATGCCTCCGCTTGACTGGATTAAGCAATTAAATTATTACGAAAAATTGGTGATTAAATGTACAAATGGGGAAATAATTTTTTTTCCTTCATTATGATGATCAATAGCTACACTAAGGATTGGGTAATGTACATTATGAAGAATTGCAAATCAATGAGTGAATCATGAAGAAATATACATTCGATGAAGGGACTTAACATTAAACTTTATCGATTATTAACAGTTTTCTCGAATATTTCTCTCTGGTAGTTTCTCACACATATTACACAAATACATTATTATTCATATGAAACTTGTTTCGAGAGAGGGGGGGGGGGTTCGAATTGCATTGATGCAACAGAGTTGTAACCACGTAATACATACATTTCCCAGTGGAGTAGAATAATTGAACTCTCTGATAATTTTGTTCGAAATTTATAGGCCTCTATTCAATATCGCTGTTGAAAATTTTATGTACATAAAAAATTCATCGATACCAGTTTGTCCATCATATCGAGCAATTATCTGAAATTTCAGAATGATTGATGAATTCTTGTTAATTTTTCATGAAACATGAAGGTGACATTTTAATGAAATAAACAGTGAAAATTATTTGTCTCTTTGAATCGATGAGTTGCTTTTTAAATCAATTTATCGGGTGGTAAAAATGGAATTTTCGATTTTACTAAATCAAAGAATCCGAATGAATTTGTGATGCGATGGGTTGCAATTTTGAACAGTGATTCCATTTAAATTTCACGGATTTTATTAACGAAAATCTTTTCTACTATATCCCCTTTTTTTCAGCTTATCCGCTCTTTACATACATCTTTACTACTGTATACAGGCGGAGGTTAGTGAAAATAGATCGTTCACGAGTGTCACTTGAAAAAGGGATTCCTTCGGTTTTCTTTTGCGTTCATTGATTCAACACAGGAAAAATCTACGATCATTCAAGAAATTTTGAAGAGAGAATTCAATCTTGTATTGATGTTAATGGATGGATATTGTTTGACATACCACATAGAGATGGACTATTCGTATGAATCAATCAATCTTGATTTGAAAAAATATCTTTGGCTCACTGATACTGAAAATTGAACTCTCTGATAATTTTGTTCAAAATTCATAGGTCTCTATTCAATATCGCTGTTGAAAATTTTATGTGCATAAAAAATTCGTCGATATCAGTTTGTCCATCATATAGAGCAATTATCTAAAATTTCAGAATGACTGATGAATTCTTGTTAATTTTGAATGCAGTATGAAGCCGAGATTTTAATGAAATAAACAGTGAAAATGAGAGGACGAGTTTTTTTTGTCGACAGATATTAATTAGAGATAATAATTTTTCTCTTTGAAATGATGAGTTGCTTTCTAAATCATTTTATGGGATCGTAAAAATGGAATTTTCAAGTTTACTAAATCGAAGAATTCGAATGAATTTTTGATTTGATCGGTGACAATTTTCAACAGCGATTCCATTCAGATTTCATGGATTTTATTTGCAAAAATCTCGTTATTTCCGTGTATTTCTACTACATCCTTCTTTTTCAGCTTATCCGCTCTTTACGTATACCTTTACTACTATATACAGGCTGAGTTTTGTGGAAATAGATCGTTCGCGAGTGTCATTTGAAAAAGGGATTCCTTCTGTGTTTCATTTTGCATTCATTGATTCAACACAGGAAAAATCTATGATTATTCAAGAAATTTTTAAGAGAGAATTCAATCTTGTATTAATTTTAATGGATGGATATTTTTTGACACTACCACATAGAGATGGCATATTCGCATGAATCAATCAATCTTGATTTGGAAAAATATGTGCAGATGAAAGAGGTTTCAAGAAATTCATCAGGAAATCCCTATTGCAGACACTTTTTTCCTTTCCAAAGAAATTATCCTGACAACTTTCATATATCTGCAGAATAATCTTCGAAATCCGATGGATTTATCCCCTGATTTTCAACACTTGAGTGCAGAATCATTGATTCATTCACTTAAAAAACCAGTTTTATCAATTTGAGAAACGATTCGAGAGTTGAATGTTGGACTAAACGAGGAGTTCCTTGAGGAAATCCTCGTCAAGCAACTCCTACAAATAATCGTCGAGGCGATCTTTTTCATCCGGCGGACTTGGCTCACTGATACTGAGAATTGGCAGGCCAAAGTGTTGGGTCTCGATACTCGGTTCTATTGTGTATCTTGTGTAATCGCAGCTTCTTGAGTGACTATCGGTGTCTGTTGAGCAATGGTGCAAATGACGTGGATGGTGGGGTTTGACTCTTGTGAAATCTGGTTCGCAGGAACGACGATTTATCCTTAAAAGAAAATAATGGTGATAATGAGAGTTTGATTAAAATCTTCCTTGAGAATGAAAGTGTAAACGGTGAGAGCATTTTATCTCAAATTTCAAGCAAAAATATTTGAAATGCTTCACAGAGATTACTTTGAGTGAAATTACGATGAATTTTTTCAATTGAAAAATCATTCAATTTTTATGCGTATGAGATATTTCATGTCAAATCGATCAACCGCTAATCCTCAACTACTCGAAAGTTGACCGGGATACTATCTAGAGTTGGAGGCTGCGAAAACTCGAATTTGTTCAGGATTTCATCAAAATCCGTATTAAATTACAGTCGAGGCTTTATATAAGATACCTCTCTATAAGATACCTCGAGCTCCGGGCGCTCGAAGCCTACCCCCACTCTCGGCACTTTTATTCCCTTCTGAATGTTTAATTCCGTGGGCTTCTTATAAGATACCTATGGCCTTTGTTTCGTCTTCAACGAAATTTCATGTAATTTTCTACCTTTAATTTGAAATAATAGAAAAGAAATATTTACATATTTGGAAAGGAACATAATTTGTCATAAGGAAAAAGGAAAAAAGGTGAGAGGGATGGGAAATGGTGGCTAGGTCATTTTATTATTAAAATAATTTTAGTGTCTCGAAATCTCTAATCCGGTCTTCTAACAGAATAACATGAACGAGCAATTCAAAAGGGGAACTTCCCATAGAAGATTTATAAGCGTCACTTTTCCAGTGAGTACAAGTAATTTTTTGTATATTACTTTGAGGCCCGAGAAAGTTTCAGGACGAATTGCAGCCTTTCCCCAATTTGAAATATTGTTTCACTATTTAGTCCTTTGGGGCAGGGTCTCGGGGAAATACGTCTCAAATTTGGATTATTTACAACTTAATCCGTTTTAAAAAGTTCCTTCTCCATCTTCCAACACTCTCTGTGAAAGGGAAGGAAATAATATGTTTCGTCATTAGGCCGAAAAAAACTTTTCTGGCGAATATGAGCAATCATATGAGCTAGAAAAAATTTTTCAGGCCATATATCGAATGATATTTTTTATCATAACGGCCGCTACGCATCCGTAAATTGCTGTCTTACGGCCGGTATGACGAAAAATACAATTCAGTATTAGACGACCGGTGTGAAGTGCAAATCAGTCTTCAACACTCCAACTAGTATTCCTATCTCTCACTGGTGTTCACAAACTCATGTACAAATAAACCAACAACAGTATCCAAAGTGCAATATGTTAGGGTCCAAGTTGAATTCATCATTCCCTAAATAACAAAAAAAAATTATTTACCTTAAGTGAATTTTTTGAAGACAATTTAAATTATAATATAGTGCAATTTGTTCAGTTCTCTATTTGGATTCATAAGGAACAATTAAATTCTCATTTCAAGTGATATTGAGTTGGTAGCCTGAAAGTATCGACTCTGAGTCGATACAGCCTACATCATTTTTCAACGGGAAAAGAATGATTACAAGAATCAAACAAGAGGGACAAACAAAGTGATCATAAGGGTCAAAAGTTCGAACTTGAAAGTCGAATTAAGTAATCAGAAGGGTTAAACGATCCTAACGGCCACCTCTTTTCTTCGACGCTGTAATTATTAAAATGATGATGAAGAATTATCTTAATAGAATACAGCCTAATTAAAGCTCGATTAATTTACGTACTTTCAATAATTGGTACTTCAGCAGTCCAGAAGTAATTATTCTCAAGTCCCCTAACAATCCCCCAACATCAGTTATCATTCTATCCCGCGGTGTTATGTTTAGAGAGAAAGGGGAATGCGGGCTATACACATTCAAAACATTAAACGCGTATAAATTGATTAGTTATCAATATCCATTCAGTAAAAATGAATATTCTGTAGGATTCGGCCGCAACGAGCTACATATCTTATTTCAAACCACTGATCTCTATTTTTCTCCTCTCTACCCGAGTAGAAATTTTAGTACTTAGCGGGTCAGAGCCTGGTCCGCTGTGCCGTAGAAAAGATCCGACCCTGTTACGGTTACAACATCAGGGCCTGATAGGCAATATAACGCAATGCATGATCAGGATCTGATTTCTAAACCGGATAAGGGCCGTGACAGGCGGCCTGGTTTCGCCCTTACCTCGCATAGACTGTGCTACAAATTAATAAATTACTAACTGAATTATTAAATTGGACCAACTATGAATAATAAATAAATAAATAAATGAATAGTGGTCCCAGAATCGGCGGGTCGAGAAAAAAAAGAAACCAAAATCAACCAGAGCGGGATTTGAACCCGGGACCCTCCGCGTAGAAGTTCTGTTCCCTATTCACTCGACCACCGTATCAATCTTGAAAATGATTGTTTGTTTTGAGTATATCAATAATACTCCCAATAAAATTGTAGTATTGAACTAAATCGCGAATAATATCAATTTGTATAATTTTTCTGATCATCATCCCCCCTCCCCTCCGACCCACCCCCCTTTACCATTTCCACCTCGACTCTTTGTTTGGTGAAAATTTTTCCAAGTCCCGTACGACATGCCTTATCCCGACCTGATCATTGCCGGATCAGGTTCGCCGTATTGAACTTATAGAATTTTCGAAGTTAAGGATTCCCGGCATACCTTACCTGGTCCTGATCATGGCCGGATCGAGTTGGCTGTATCCGGTATACTCAACAAGCACTCGTGTTCAATCAAAACAGGCTGAAAAAGACTCCGGAATTTCCCTTATCAGACATGCCTGATGTAACTTTAATTTTTCTCTATCACGGTACGTTCAAAAGGCCCTGACTGGGGCATTACCAGGCATGCCTGCTTAAAGTTTGGAATTTATTGGTAAGGTGAACATGCAATGGTCTCCTTCAGGCCCTGGTCTGGTATGCCGTAATCAGGTATACCGTATCGATACCGGAACAGGGCCTTCTCTGCCAACAGGTCTGCCTGTGGGGGTAGGGAAGCTGGTGCATATACTGCCCACCTAAGGGAAATGAGTCTTTTTTTTCAGCCTCGGACTCTACAAGGAGTCATAAATGGTTAGAATGGGTTCCTCGAAGTGTTTACTGCAAAATATGCAGAGGGTAGATTTTTTATTAACATTAATCCAGTGTAATGAACATTAAAAGATCTGTCAATTGTAAAATTCTTTATAAGTCGTATTAAGCATCCAAGGGAATTAAATCCATTAGAAATCTCTTTTTTTATTTCAATATAATAATAACCCGAATTTTAGAATAGCCTGAGTGAAATTATTTGTAACTCAGAGTATCGTTAACGCGATGCATACGGAGAGAATTTTTTTAGAAAAATTCTAGTGCTAACACGGGAAAAGAGGCAGAAAGTGACGGCCAGGAAAAAATTTCAGTGCCGACACTAGAAATTTTATTGGGGAAAACGTGAATTTTTCTCCGTATTTCTGTGAAAATTTCACAGAAATCCCCAGAAATTTTACCAGAAATACCAAGAAATTTTACCTTAATAGCACTAGAATTTTTCACAGCCGGTGGATTGTGATTTTTTCCAGTACTCGTACTAGAATTTTTCTAGAAAATTTCTCTCAAAGGAGCAAAAAATTTAGAGAATGCTTGTACTTATATAGCACTTAACTGTGAGCATGTCAATTCAGGATTCTGAGAACCAAAAAAATTCAGGGTGGCCAAGTTGACATGGAATGTCCCACATTATGAGCTGATGAGATGGAGTGATTCGTACGATTCTAGACAGAAGTGGAAAAGCGATTGATAATTCATTTTCATAGAAACCTTTCATCTATGGACGCTGGTTGTCGGACAGGACATCTGACGTATTCATGACTACCTCCAAACCTCCAACCCCCAAAGCGTCTCCCTACTCCTGAGATGGACGTTGTTGAGGTGGTCCCTTGAGCGCTGCTTCTAGAATACCATTACAGATTACTGAGCGGGCACCATGAGAATTAATTTGCATTCGAAATCCAATATTTACATATTTACAACAAATCTACAGTTTCACTGGCATTAGATAATAACTAGACTGACGGAACTTGAGTGTAATCAACAATTCCGTAATGAGGGAGTTGAATAGCTATTGTTGCCTACTTGAAGTCATATTCAATGATTTACTGCAATGGAATCTAAGATTTTTGTGATTAGAACGAAAGTGATGGGTCATTAGAGTTTTGTGTAACTAGGAAAGCGGGCATGATTGGCTACTAATTTATACATATTATTGTTGATCAGTAGGTATTCATTTATTTATTAAAAAGGAGTTAATATCCGTTTTGTTATTTTTCGATTTCAGAAAAAATTTGAAAAATGATCCTCAAAAATTTGCACGATGTAAATTCATGCTGTAAGGTTTAAAAAATTAGGTGCATCTAAGAATGAAATCGATCCCATTTTCCAAGCGTGGAAATAAAAATCTTCTTTTGTTTTCTTTTTGTCTTTTAAAACGTTATTCTTTTCTTTTAATGCGCATATAAATTTATTGTCTATAATAATTCCATAAGCATTTTTGTTACATCCAAAGGTTCAACTTTTTTTGAAATTTGAATATCGGAATTTTTCAACTATATTTTCCCGTTCATCTTTCTTGTATAGCTGAGCCATCACACATATATGTATAATAAACAAAAAAAAGAATATATATTGATCTGTTTTACATTTTTAAAAAAATATAGAATCATTTTCCACCCCAAAGGGAAGAAAACGTATATTTTAGGTCTTGCCGAGGCTTGATTCTTCGGAGATTACCTTACGTGTCCTTCACATGTATGTGTGCCTAGAACCCTCCGTGAGAGCCCTCTACATGGAGAAAAGGGTACTTCGAGCTGGGCTTCTAGGAATGACGGCAAGCCCTTACTCGGGTCCAGCCTCGGCAAGACCTAAAATATACGTTTTCTTCCCTTCGGGGTGGAAAACGATTCTATTTTATGTCTGTGCCTTCGCCTTGACCCTTCGGAGAGATGTTTATAATCTGCCGGCACTAGAAAGTGTACTGTGACTCCAAGATTTCCAGAGATAAACTTTATTTCATATAAAGAAAAATCTTCTTGAATACAAACTAGCCAGTAACCCAAGTAATAAACAAAGTAATAATCACAGTTTCAAACTGGTGTAAAACTCTCAATGAGAGAACTTTTTGGACCAGGAACTTTGGAATTATCTACTTCCTTGAAGTAATGTTTGAAGAAATTATTTGCCCCTTTCCAGTTACCCCTCTTTAGTAACTCGTCCATTGGCATCATGTTTTGATAATTATGAGATGCCACCGCTGACCTCACTGACCCTGGACTCGCTCCAATTCCTGCTGCTTCGAACGCAGTTTGAATCCAACCAGCAATAATCGCCCTTGAAGCTGCTCCCACCGTTCCTCTCGTTGATATGAAAAGATGCGACGAATTCTGACGAGCTTTGCGTCTCTCAGCTGATAAGGAGATCAGTATTTCGATCCACCGAACCATGTGAAACACCGGATCTTCCAATCTGGTAATCTTACAGCCTGATTGACGACAATCAGGCCTCTCTGGTTTCGAGCCAAACTCTGGCCAGAAGACAATCTCGTCTTTGTCGACAGAGCAACTCTCTGGGCTGATCGAGAGAAAAGTCAGGTCATGAATCCTTCTCCCGGATGCTAAGAGTAGGAGAAGCGCCATGAAACGAGACACCTCAAAGGGACTTTTCTTCTCAGGCGGATGATTTGACAGCTAATCTGTTAGAGTTTCTACATTCCATATGGTAGTTTTTGAAGGCTTAAGAAGGCTTTGCGTTCTTCGCTCTTTGGATACTAATAGCCTTCAGCAGAGATCTCACCAATGGGCTTGAACTCAAGCTATTCTCGCCTTCCGGATTATTCAATCAACAAATCACTGATTTCTGGGTTAGAATGGAGCTGTAGGCTAGATTCTTTTCGTAATATAAGAAGCTGAAGTATGTGACCAGGTGCTGAGCACTGGGCTCATCTGATGGTAAAGCCCTGGCCATGCACCAAGTCAACCACTGTTTCCAAACTGATGAGTAAGTTCTCCAGGAAGAATTTCTCCAAGCTGAGCTCAGGAGACTTATTTCCGATTCAGATAACCCCTCTACGTGTTTGCCCCACCTCGTATCTTCCAAACCTCTAAAACGAGGTCCTTGACCTTCTGTGGAGGAAGACCCGTTGTTATGTCCACCAGGTGGTTCTCAAGATTCAGAAGTTGGAAAGGAGCCGCCAGACTCCTCTTCTTCAGTTCCCCCCTCCAAAAAGTCTTCTCCCACCTCGGAGCCACTACTAGGAAAATTCCCTTCGCCGTGTTCAGGTGATGTAGAACCTTCGGGATTAGTGGGGGTGGTGGAAACACCCAGGCCAAGTTTACGTGCCACGTCTTTCTGAAGGCATTTATGGACATAGCCTCCTGGTCGTTCGCCTCCAACGACACATACGTTGGCACCACTTTGGATTGAGATGTCGCAAATAGGTCGATCTCTGGCGTTCCAAATTTTTCGAAGATCCTGCTCAGGATCTCTATGCTCAGATGCCAATCTGGCAGTGAGAAGTTTCAGGAGAGTCTGTCCGCTAGGGTGTTGTAGATTTCCAACAACAATAAGAGTTTCTTGGTCAGGTTCAACAAAACCTGAGACCGAGTCCCTCCTTGATTCCTGATGTAAGCCACCACCGTTCTGCTGTGGCTTGGAGCATGATCGAACAGCCTCGAAGTTGATCGTTGAACAGCTGAATCACCAGCCACACTGTGTAGAGCTCTTTGCGATAGATATGCCATGGGTCTGTAGCCCATGTTCCCGCTTGGTACACATTATTTAAGTGAAAACCCCAACCGATCTGTGAGGCATCGGTCGTCAGGAAGATGTCTGGATCCGCCTGGAAGATCGGGCTTGTCTGATGAATATTTGTTCTTCACCATAAGCAATCCAAGTGGCTCATCTCGAGGAGGGGGAACTTTTTCTTTGGCGATTTCTTTGATAACCGACGACTCCCTCGTTGTAGTTGTCGTGAGACGAGGCGCCCTAGAGGTGTGACGATCGCTGCAAAATTCAACATTCCCAGGAGAGACTTTCCTGACCTCCAGTTCCAGGTACCCGAGCTTATCAAGTCCTCTATGATGCTTATGATTCGATTCTTCTTGTCGTCGGGTAGGGTCTTTTCGTTGTGCTGGGTGTCCCATATGATGCCCAAAAACTCGAGTTTGTGCGTTGGACAGACTACAGATTTCTGTATGTTCACCACCCAACCCACAGAGCGAAGGAGGTCCAAAATTAGTGAAATCTGATTTTGAAGTTCGTTGGCGTTCTGATGTGCCAAAAGAAAACCGTCTAGGTACACCACTACTCGTATTCCTTTCTGACGTAGAATATCCGCTATCCAGTTGCTTATTCTGGAAAATGCCAAAGGTGCCATTGACAAGCCGAAAGGAAGACAGGTTATGTTGTATAGTTGACTTTGATACGAAAGACAAAGGTATCTTCGATGACTTCGCTTGATGGGAACATGGAGATATGCTTGCGAGAGATCTATTTTGGCTAGGAAGTCGTCTCTTTGGAGAAATGAAGGGACTTTTCTTTGGTTTATAAGACGAAACTTTGGCGGGTGTAAGTAATCGTTCAGGCAACGAAGGTTGAAGATCTGTCGAAATCTTTCATCTGCTTTTGGAATCAGGAACATTGGTGATATGAATCCTGTCTTCCAATCTGCCCTTTCGATCACACCTTGATGAAACATTATATGGGGTATTCCATGTGAACTCACCCAGGTCAAAACCCTCACCATCGCCAATCATATTGCCGATTTTTCCTGTGGTTGTATATGGAAAAATATGACTTCTCAAATTTTTTCAGATTTTTTGAGGCATCCTGTGGGCAGCCATGTTTTTTTGCAAGTTTTATCTTCAAATGCCTGTCACTTCCGTAAAAATCAACTGATTTGAGTTTTTTTTTACAAAATGTGCGTCTTCAACTACACTTTCCATATAAAAATATGCCAATTTTTTTCAATTTGTTCTTCCATCGATTTCCTCAGAAAACCCTCAAAAAACGAGTCGTTTTCAAAGTTGGACCCTTTTTATAATTTCAAAAAATTTCCGTGAATATATTGGACTAAAATAAAATTTTTCACCAAAGGCCAAAGTGGGGTCTCTATTAGAACACACCACTCGGAAAGATTTATTGTTAACGAATTTTCAAAAAATCATCAAATTGTTCCTGATTCGAATATAATGCAGTGATTCTTCAGGCAGTCAATTCAAATAATGCTTCTGCGTTCAAATGCGAAAAGAATTTTGAAATTTTTGAAATTTCTCATCCCGGATTCATATATTCAAATTGGAAATGACGGCCACGAAATGGGAAGCCCACTTTGGCCTTTGGTGAAAAATTTTGTTTTGGTCAATATATTCACTGAATTTTTTTGAAAAATATGAAAAGGGTCCAACTTTGAAAACGACTCGTTTTTTTAAGTTTTTTGAGGTTTTTCTGAGGAAATCGATGGAAGAACGAATTGAAAAAAATTAGCATATGTTTATATGGAAAGTGTGTTTGAGGATGCACATTTTGTAAAAAAAAATTCAAATCGGTTGATTTTTACGGAAGTTACAGGCATTTTAAGATAAAACTTGCAAAAAAACATGGCTGTCCACAGGATGCCTTAAAAAATCTGAAAAAATTTGAGAAGTCATATTTTTCTATATACAACCACAGGAAAAATCGGCAATATGATTGGCGATGGTGAGGGTTTTGACCTGGGTGAGTTCACATGGAATATCCCATATCCATTTTTTTTTACATTTGAAGAGATACTTTGTGTAGTATTTGAAGTTCTGTAAATTCCTACTGTACCGACCTCCCGTACCTTTACCATCAATATGGCAGACCTGTAACACCTTCTTGATAATATAATTTATATTATCCATTAATATCAGAGGGAT